CCCCAAAACCCCAAAACCCCAAAACCCCAAAACCCCTTTTTTGACAAATTTCTAGAAGATTTCTTTTAAATCAGTTACAAATCATCAGTAAAGTCTTCTTCTTCAAGGGCTGGTGCATCTTTGCCATCCCAAGGACTGATCTTCTTAAATTCAAATTTAGGAGGGAGAGGAGCAAGAGAGGTCTTGCCGATAAGTAGACCATCTGCGAAAGATTTAAGTCCGCTTTCGCTAAAGGATCCTTTCATAATGCCATATTTTCCATTTTTAGAAGAGACTGCAATAACAGCTGGAAATCCGAACCCAAGTCCGAGGTTATTCTCAAGATCAATGTTGTTTCCAGCTTCAACCCAGAAGAAAGCAAATGGTTTAGAGATATGAGCCTTTGCGGTCTTCTTAATTGCATCAATGTAAGAATTTCTGCTCTTTGCATCACTCTCGTAAATATTTGGAAGGAAAGAGATAACACAAATACCTGAAGTGCATTCATCTTCATATTTAGATTGGTTGGTTAGCTCGTGAACTTCTGGCTCAATGTCCGTGTTTTCTAGAAGGTTTTGAGCAAAATTCTTGATATCAGATGCAGTCCTTCCTCCTTCATACTTATTTCCAGATCTTTTAGATTTCTTGTTTCCATAGTCCCAGTATTTAATAGTTGGATATCCCTGAATTTGGAATCTGCTAGCTAGTCCTTTCTCTACAGTTGCATCTACTTTTCCGAACTTAACCTGCCCTCTTAAAGAAGAGGCAGCTTCGTCCCACTCTGGAGCCAATTTCTGGCAGTGTCCGCACCATGGAGCATAGAATTCAATGAACCAGATATCCTTAGAATTCATTACAGTTTGATCGAAGTTAGAATCTGTGAGAACAACTACGTCTCCATCCTTGCTTGCTTTACTTCCACCAGACTTCTTGCTAGATTTAGAATTTGAGGTATTAGCTTTTCCATTCTGTCTCTCCTTCACTGCTTTCTTAACTTCCTTAAGAACAAAGTTAATGATGGAGTCTTCATCTCTTCCTGAATTATAGTCAATTGGCTTTGCTTTATTATTTCCAAACAGCTTAATAGTAGGGAACCCTTGAACACCATATGAGGCACCTGCTGATTTGTCTTTATCTGCATCAACAGCACCTACTTTAACAATACCCTTAAGTGCTTTTGCGACTTTCTCGTAGACAGGCTTAAGAGCCTGACAATGGCCACACCATGGAGCATAGAACTCTACTAGCCAAATTTCATCAGAGTTGATAACTTCCTTCTTAAAGTTCTTTGAATCGAGATCAACAACCCCTGAGTTTGAAGAATACATGGCTTGTGTTGAAACCAGAGCACAAGCAATTGCCACCACAAATAGGATAGATTTCATTTCTAAAAAATATTTCAATAAAATCTTAACACGTGGGGTTTTGGGGTTTTGGGGTTTTGGGGTTTTGGGG